CGGGGGAGAAGGTCCCGGGTGCAGGAGGCCCCCAAGGACAGGGATTAGCAAGGGGGCCGGGGGAGAAGGTCCCGGGTGCAGGAGGCCCCCAAGGACAGGGATTAGCAAGGGGGCCGGGGGAGAAGGTCCCAGGTGCTGGAGTCCCCCCCAGGGCAGGGGCTAGCCAGGGGCTCCCCACCCCTGCACTCACCGTGAAAGGCAGGGAGCAGACGATGAAGGTGATGGTCATGATGGCCAGGAGGATGAGGTGATCCACCTCCTCGGACATGGAGAGCCTCCGGCGCCCGGCGGGCTGCTCCAGCGAGGCCAGGCGGCGCGAGGTCTGCCCGCGGCGGTGCATGCCCACCAGGCTGCGGGTGACGCTCAGGTTGCAGAGCAGCACGGCCAGGATGAGCAGCAGCAGCAGCGTGGCGTAGAGCAGCGAGTAGGTGGCGCCGCCGCCGCCGGGGCCCTGGGCGGCGCGCATCTGGATGAAGCACCAGGTGCCCGGGCAGTACTGCACGTAGCGGTCGAAGCCCAGCAGCGGCAGGGCGCAGAAGGCGGCGGCGAAGGCGTAGAGGGCCAGCAGGGCCAGCAGCAGCGCCGAGCGGCGGCGGACGAAGCGCTCGTAGAGGTAGGGCTGGCCCAGCGCCAGGCAGCGCTCCAGCGCCATGGCGAACAGCACCAGCATGGTGGCCAGGCCGAAGAAGCTCATGGCGAAGGCGAAGTAGAGGCACAGCCGCCGGTCCTCGGCCAGCGCCACCAGCGTGCGGTTGCGGCCGTAGGAGACCAGCACCACGGGGCTGACCAGGCAGGTGCCCAGCAGGTCGGTGAGCACCAGGACGGTCACCAGCACGTGGAAGAGGGAGAGCGGGCGGCCGCGCCGCCCCAGCCGGCGCCGGGCCAGCAGCGCCAGCGCCGTCAGGTTGCCCAGCAGCCCGGCGGAGAACATGACGGCGCTGATGGCCGGGCTCTCCTCGGCCGACAGCGGCTCTTGGGTCTCGCAGTGCGAGGCAGAGCCGGACCCGCTCATGGTGGCGCCCGCCCGCTGTCAGGCGCTGGGGCGTGAGCGCAGCACCGGGCGAGCCGAGCCGAGCCGGCCCCTCGCCGGGCTCCCCCGGCGCGCTGCCAGAGGCGCTCGCAGCTCCTCCCTCGCCAACAGCTGGAGCTCGGACCCGCCTCCCTGGCGCAGCTGCCCGCCGCTCAGGGTCCCTCCCTCTCCAGCCGGGGCAGCGCGGGGCGAGGCTCCGTCCCCCCCGCCCGCGTTCCTCCTCCCTCCCAACAGCTGGAGGCCCCCCCCTTGCGCACCTTCCTGCCCCAGCCGGGGAGCCCGGCACCGCCCCCTGCGCGCTCCTCCCTTCCCAGCACCTCTGGGCAGCGGGTGGAGATCAGTCACTGCCCGCGGGGTCCTCTTGCGCACTGGGAGAGGCTGCGTCCTTCCTCCCAACTAGCCAGAGCTCCCTGCGCCCCTGCCCCTTTCCCGACAGCACTGGAGTGCGGCCGCGGCTCCCTCCCTGGCTGGCTGGGGCACTGAGCTGCGCGCCGGGAAGGGATCCCCAACCTCCCACCCGCCGCCTCTGGCTCGGCCGACTGGCACCGTCACCGTGCCCAGCAGCCTGGCTCCACGCAGAGCCCCAGCCCGAGGGGAGGCTTCCTACCGCGCT